CAGGGGCTCGGGACAGCTGCTGCCCAGGGAGCACCCAGCCGGAGAAACGAGCCCCTGCCTTGGTTCTCATATCAAAAAAATAAAAAGCTCCAAACCACTGCTGGTCAGTTCCAATCCATAGCATCTTTCATTACAGGTCCCAAGACTATCCATCTTTATGGAAGCAGACAGCTTCATCTTTCAGCCAAGGCTTGGGTGAAACTGGTGGGTTTGAACTGCCGATCTTGTCGTTAGCGGCCCAGTGCCTAACCTACAGGACCATCAGGACTCACTTTGGTTCTCTTAAAAAGCAAAAGCGCAATGCCATCGAGTCACGTCTGACTCATAGCCACCCTAGGAAAGACTAGAGCTGGCCCTCAGGTTTCCTCGGCTGTGACTCTTCAAGGGAGCAGACGGCCTGACCATTTTCCCACTTAGTCCTCTCTGCTTCCCCCACATTCAAAGTCTATTTAAAAACAAAAGCTGAAAAAAATCAAATGTCCTGGACGCATTCCATTGCCAATTCCAACTCATGGTGACCCTATAGAACAGGTTAGGGCTACGCCATACGATTTCCAAAATTACAAATCTTTATGGAAGCAGATTACCAGACTACAGCTTTTGAGCCTTTCAATTACCAAACATTTCACTATAGCACAACCAGGTCTCCTTAACAGTGTTTTACCAAATACCACCACTAGATGGAACCATGTGTTTTAATGAGATGTTTCCTGGAAGGTTCTGATTTTGCAAGTAATCTGACTATAGGATTACTATGAGTCAGAATTTACTGGATAGCAGTCGGTATGGGGAGGGTGAGATTTCACTTGCTTGTTACAAAAACTGTCAGTTGATGCAATTTAAGTAGAAACAGGCTCCTAGTGATTGGAGAGTGTACCAAGTTGTTCCTTAAGGTTTCCTGAGACTAAATCTTTCTGCCCAGCGGCTATCCAGCTGATAGTTTCTAGTCCCTGACCTTGCAGTTAGCAGCACAACACTTAACGCACTGCACCACCAGGGATCCCGAATGCTATTTTTTTTAAATAAAGAAACTCACTACTGAGCCAATGCTGACTCAAAATGACTCCCCTTGTGGGTTTCCGAGATTGTAACTGTTTATGGGAGTAGAAAGCCCAGTCTTTCTCCCACAGAACTGCTGGTGGTTTTGAACTGCCAATCATGAAGATAGTAACCCCTGCAACACCAGTTCTCCCCTGAGAACCAGAATTGCCTGTCGTTTCTCTTGCACCTGTAAGAGGTGGCAGACCTAAGGGTTTTGCTCAAGGTCTATGATCAACTTACTTGAAGAAGGCTACACTAGCTCTGATCTAGGATCACTGTTTCTTCCATCCTTGTGGATCAGCACTCTCAAATTTGAGCCTGCATCTTTGTCTGCAGGGGTTGTTAAAACAGAGATGGATCGGGAACCCCCAGAGTGCCTGATTCAGTAAGTTGGGGTGGCTCGAAAACATGCATTTAAACCATGTACTGGATGATGCCAAGGCTGCTGCCAGTGCAAGGACCACACTGAGAAGCCCTGCTGTGAAGGATTCTGAAAACATCAGATGCCCTAACCATAAGCAGAACCCGTTGTCACAGCCCTGCCAGGCTGTTGTCCTCAGGCTGCAAGCACTCCCAAAGCCACTGCTCCATCATGGTGTCCAGGCTGAGCAGCTGGACCACCAAACCACCCTTACAGTTTTCCGTTTAGTCCCTCCATTTGAAATCCACAAAAACCGTTCACAGCCAACAAAATGCTAGTCGTGAACATCTGTCTGAACGATTGTCTGGAGCTCCCAAACCTAGAATTAAAGGGGATCAACTATAGAACATTCTGACCAAAGCTGGGACCTAGCTCTACAACAGGTGTTCTCCACATGTGCTCCCTATTGAGTCAGAAACTCTGGGTTAAGTCCAATTGAGTTGCAGGCAGTGAATACAGCCCTTCCGGCCATAATCCCTTATGCGATGTATTGTAATCCTGGCCTCCACACACACGTGGCAAAGGCCCCATTCTGGAGGGCATCATCTGCTAAGGAACAGGAAGGTGGTTGCTGTTAGGTGCCACTGAGTTGGTTCCAACCCACAGGGAGCCTCCGCTGCCCAGTCTTGCGCCATCCTCACAGCCCTGCGCCATCCTCACAATGATTTCTATGCTGAGCCCGTTGTAGCAACCACTGTGTCCACCCATCTCCTGGAGGGCCGTCCTCCTTTTCACTGCCCCTCCACTTTAACAAACATGATGTCCTTCTCCAGAGACTGGTCTCTACTGACAACATGTCCAAAGTATGGAACACGAAGTCTTGCCATCCTTGCCTCTAAGGAGCCCTCTGGCCATCTTTCTTCCAAGACAGATCGGATTGTCCTTTTAGCAGTCCTAGGTATTTTCAGTTTCTTCGCCAGCACCACGATGCAAATGCCTTGGTTCTTCTTCAGTCTTCTCTATTCAGTGTCCAACTTTCACATGCATGTGAGGCGAGTGAAAATAACATGGCTCGGGCCAGGCACACTTTAGTCCTCAAATTAACTTCCTTTCTTTTCAATACTTTAAAGAGTCTTATGCAGCAGATTTACCTAATGCAATGCATTGTTTGATCTCTTGACTGCTGCTTCTGTGAGCATTGATTGTGGATCCAAGAAAGACAAAATCCTTGACAACTTGAACATTTTCTCCATTTATCATTGTTACCTGGTGCTCCAGGTGTGAGGATTTTTGTTTTCTTTTATATTGATTCATAATCCATACTGAAGGTTGAAATTCTTGATCCTTATCAGCAAGTGCTTCAAGTTTTCCATACTTGCCACTAACAAGGTAGTGTTATCTGCGTATCTCAAGTTGTTAATAATACTTCCTCCAATCCTAATACCACATTTTTCTTCATATAGTCCAGCTTCTTCTGATGATTTGCTCAGCACACAGATGAGATAAGTATGGTGAGAGGATGACTCCCCGATGCCTGCCTTTCCTGATTTTAAACCATGCAGCATTCCCTTGTTATGTTTGCACAACTGCCTCTTGATCCATGTACAAACTCTGCATGAGCATAATGCAGTGTTCTGAAGTTCCCATTCTTCTCAAGGTTGTCCGTAATTTGGAATGCAAAAATTGGACACAAAGAGGAAGTTGGAAATATGGATTTGGTACCAGAAACAAAATTGGAGATAGTATTATAGAATACTGTAAGACCAACAAATTATCACAGCAAATATATTTTTTCAACAACATGAAAGGTTGCTGACTTCTCCAGATGAAATGCACAGAAGTAAAATTGACTACATCTGTGGGAAGAGACAATGGAGAAGTTCAATATCAGCAGCTAAAACCAGGCCAGGAACTGACTGTGGAATAGACCATCAATTTCTCAGGTTGACCCTAAAGAAATTTAAAACAAGTCCACCAGAGCCAAAATGCGAACTTGAGTCTATCCCACCTGAATTTCAAGAACAGATTTGCTGCATTGAAGACGAATGACAGAAGAGCTGACGAGTGTGGGAGGACGTCAAGAACATCATCGTGAAGAAAGCAAAAGGCCACTTAAAAAGACAGGAAAGAAAGAAAAGATCCAAGTGGATGTCAGAAAAGACTCAGAAACCTGCTGTTGATCAAGGAGGAGCTAAAGCAAATGGAAGAAGTGATGCAGTCAGAGTGCTGAATAGAAGGAACCAGGAACAGAATGAGATTAAGATCTGACCTTAGTGATGCAATCAATGGGCTGTGATCTGTACGGTCAGCAGTTCAGAGCCATCAGAATCTCTATAGGAGATAGATGGTGCTTTCTACACCTGTTAGCTGTTCCTATCCCTGAAACTCACCAGCACAGTTCTACTCTATCCTATAGGGTCACTATGAGTCAGCATTAACTCAATGGATGTGAGTTGCGTTTGGATTTGGGTGTGAACCATGCCACACTCTGTTTAGTGGCTGTCTTGGTTACTGTTACTTTTAATGGATGTAAAGAATGATAGGTTACAGTTAAATGGAAAAGTCGCTTCTGGGGTCACCTGGGGAAAAGCCTGGCTGATTAAGGTCAATAGAAAGCCAATGTCTACTAGAAGCATCCTGCCAGAGGCCCCAGGTCATATGTGCATAAGATACAGTCCAGGGGTAGAGTATACATCATTGTATTTGCGTGTTAAGTTGATGGCACTCACTGGAGATCCCCTTGCAGAGGGGTCTCGGGGAGGAGATGAGCCAGTCAGGGTGCGATGTAACAATGATGAGAAATACAACCTTCCTCTAG